GAGTGGTCCATATTTGGCGGTGCGCCATATTTGGCGCCCCGAGGGGGGGGTCCCTCCCTCGGGGGGGTCCCTCCCTCGGCCATCATTCACCTGTTCCATCCGGTGTACTTCGGACGTATGTGGGCAGCATTTTGACCGTCGCCTCTTGGTGCGTTTCCTTCTTGAGGCCTCTTTCGATCTCCACCCGCATGCGCTTCTTCACCTCCAGCAGCTGAGCTTTGCCCAGCCGGAACTCGGCGAGGGTCTGCTGGATCTGCCGCGCCTGCTCCGTCAGGCGGTAAGCCACCGCCGTCACCATGGCGGCGCCCTTGCCGCTCCCACTCTCCGACAGCAAAAAGCGGACGTCCGAGTCCGGCACCAGGCGGCGCACCATCTTGTGCAGGCGGCGGGCATACCTGGTCACAGAAACACAGTCTTTGTTTTGTCCGTCCTCTCTGGAAGGCCACGGCCGCCGTCGAGGCACATCATCGAATTGCGGTTCGTCACTCACAGTCTGGTCGGGGCGCTGCTACGTTGAAATATGCAAACCAAGATCGCGACGGACAGTTAGGAGTTTGCAAACCATCGTCTGGACCGCCCTGCCACTCTATTGGCTGGCTGCGAGGATTCAGAATACCATACCGTGCCATTTTCTATCGCTTATCCGGGGGGGGTCAAGTCGCGGAGAAGCCCGCGCTTCCCTCTCCCCAGCCACCTCTTCCAACTCTTCCGGACGGATCCCGAGGCGTTCCCAGGCCAGCCGGGAGACATGGTCTCTCCAGCGTGTCCCAGGTCGTCCTGCCGGTGAAACACCTCACCAGGGAGGCGTCCTCATCCGATGCATCCGGCCGGGGCTTTTGTTTTTTTGTGATAGTAATGAGGATATTGTAAACTACCAGGGACATATTGTGCTTACTGAGGGTGCATCTTGTAGAGGGAGCCGTCGATGCCCACGGTGGTGCGAAGGCGAGCCACACCCTTGTTCTCCTTCAGGCGAGACAGGATGCCCCCCAGGGTGGCGGCGATCAGATTGGCCGAGCGGAAGGACACGATTGTGCACACGTGCTGCACGGCGAGGCAGTCTTCGTCGGAGGGCTCCACCCCTAGCCTTGTTAGGATTTCCATGCACTTCTTCAGCCCTTCTTTCGTCCTGGTAGGGGGGGAGGGATCATTCCATGTAAAGTCAAACAAGATTTTGAGGTGTGGTCGGAAATGGAACGAGAAGAGCACCAAACTTTTTTTGTTGTAAGAGTATCAGACCTCTCAAGAGGGGTCAAACAGAGACAGCTTGACTTTAAAAATCGAGATTGTGGAAGCTGCGCCCACTTACGAAGCTGATTTTGGTATCGTTGTCAAGTGCCTTCATCGCCCTCCAAAAGTGGCGAGCAGCGGCATTGTGGACCAACTGGAGAACCCTCATGGTGGATTGGCTAACTCCAAAGTGAAGTGCATGACCGTCATCCGGCCGGGACGTGACGACGGCATGAATTGCCGTATCTCAAAGTGCTCACCGGAGAAAGGAGAGGTTTGACTCGAGCCAGCTGCCCAAGATGAGAGAAGCCGGATTTCACAAGGGCACCGATTTGCCGCTCTGATTTCAAATGACTGTCCAGTTTCAGAGCCAAGTTGGGAGACTGTTGGCTCAAGATAAGGATAACACGTGTTTTGTGTTCTGGTCCCTCCATTTCCAACAACACCTTAAAAATGGAAGGAAATCTTGGCGACGAATGCGAGATTCTCGCTTGTTTTTACGCGAAATGATCCTAACGGCAAATGAAATGTCGTCTTTGCGTTTGTTTTTTTTCGCGTGCTAACGGCACGCCACTCACTTTTCAATGGCCGAGACGTGCTTGGTCTCAATCTTCCCTTTTGTCAGGAGCTCAGGTGTGATGCGTCCTTCAAACAGCAGACCTTCTTTGGCCATCTTGACCAGAATGAGTCGCACCAGCTCCCCCATGTACATGCCACTGGCCATCTTCTCAAAACTGAATGGAAAGAAAAACACGGCTGGGATTCTCACTCACTCAACGCTTCCTCGAAGTGTCTGCGTGGCTTCTCAATGATCATCAAAGATTGAACGGAGACATCCGGACTCTGAAGATGTTGGACTTTTCACCCATGCAACAGGTTCATTCAGTTCCCCAGCAACCCAGAGTCCAGTTGCCTCCTTTCACTCTCCGCATATTATTCCTTTCCGAAACATGGCAGTTGAAAGTCCGGAAAACGTCAACCGAAAGAAGCATCGAAACGTCCTTCCAGAGTAAAGAAACGTTGACGCTCACAGCTGCTTTCCCGGGTTGATGGACCCCCTGTCGATCTCCCGGTCGAACTCCGTGCGCAGGTCCTCCAGGGAGCCGTCGTCGCCAAAGGCCCCCCACTCGGTGTTGATGCACATCCGACCCTCGTCGCCCTCCACCTGGTCGATGTGACGCATTTCTTCCATGTAGCAGGCGTTGGTTCCTGTTCCTGGCAGCGGGCAAAGTTGGGAGAGGCGTCAGTCGGCGACGCAACTGTCGCTCTTGTGATGTCGGGTTGTGGTCAGAGTCATTTTTTTAGCGCGAGTGACACCGTTGCAGTACGGACGCCCGCCCCGTGCAGTAGTTCGCTTCGGGAGTTGCATTTATCTATTTCTTTATTTCTTTATTTTAACGGAGTGGCTGGCTCACGATGTTGTACTCCACCCTGAAAATATCCACTCTCAACCCATACTGACTGTATTTATACCGAGGGAAACTCCAGTGAAGCAAACCTACGTTTGGGAAAGCCTGAAAAAGTTGCATTTTTAATCTTGTTCGGGTTTGTCTTTGGGATAAAATAGCAGACAAAAGAAAATCCCCAAAACTATTCACGCCCATAAGGTGAATTAACAACAGCTAACGACTTACTAGCTAAGCCAGCATGCTATCTAACTGACATTTAGTGAATTAGCTAGCTAGCTAGCAAGCCTTCTGCCCGCTAATTTGTGAGAAATTAGCGAACTGACGTTGCAGTTTATTACCATTGTTATGTTACTGAATTTGTGAGTTCTTGAGTGATAGTTTTTCGGGGGGGTCGGGGGTGTCAAATTGATCAGAATTTAAAGCAATGCTAGCCATCAAATAAAGAAAACAGATTCCCCGTTGTCGACATTTGGCGTCCCCACTACTATGCGCCACTACATCAGTCATGAGGGTCATCGCTACTTTGTTTGAAATTTCCACAGTAACAGTTTGACCTTTTTATAAACGTTGTCGATGATTTCCTCGTTTCCCCCCAAGTCACCGACGATCACGTAACGCCCGTGTTGTTGTTGTTGTAAAAAAAATGCCACGTTCTCAAAGTTACCGCGAGTTCCGCCAAGCCCGACTTACCTATAATGATGCCCACCTCACAGCGTTGATCGTCAAAGCCGCACGTCATCATGGTCCCCACCGTATCGTTGACCACCGCCATGATGTCGGCCTCGTAGTCCTGGCAAACCAGTTTGGCTGATGACAAATTCTTTTGTCTCTTGTCGGTTTCGCCTCAAGCGGAACCTACCCCGCGTTTCTTGATGGCCTTGTTGAGGAGTTTGACAACGTCCGTGCCTTCCACGCCGCTGGCCTTGAACTTCTTTGTCCATGTCACTAAGACGGCCTGCAAACGAATCGGTTGAATCAGTTCGGCGGGTTTGACGCAAAAATCCTGACACGCTTCCTTGTCTTCTTACTGCGATTTTCTTCTTGGTTTTGAGCACATTGAGCTTCAAATAAGAAATCCCGTAATTCTATTGATGGATTCAGTGTGAAGGCACAAGTTTGAAGACACGTTGTGAGGCTCGCGATGAAATCATCCGATTTTCCTTTTCTTTGGCAAATAATTTTGCCAGTTTTTGCAGCGTATTCAAGCACGTTGCTTTGGGCGCAGGGAAAAGAGAAGGTGAATCCCACGGGAAGCTTTTTGTCCTTGATCTTTTGTTTCTCCATGAAGTCGCCCAGGCATTCTGCCACGTGGTCAAAAAGCTGCGGACGCAACACGGGGGAAAACATTGAAACGTTGAGTCGTGCTTGCTTTGTTTTGGAAACGGTCCGTTGGTCCCGGCGTGTCGTCATCAAGACTTCAGACGCGTCGCTCTTCCCCTTTCGTTAGCCCCACTTCAACGGCAGACGGGTGCCGACATCTATCGTTACGATCTGTGACCCGAGCACTCTGCTGCGTGCGAGTCAAAACGGCGTTGCTGAATACCTCGCTCGTGTATCACGTTACGTTTCGGGCTTGGCCGCCGCTTCACGAAAGCGCCTCTGTTTCTGCGCGCCGCCCCACGGCCGCCTTTTTTTTTTGCGATCGCGTTACGACGCGACTGCCAACTGTTGTCCGCTAGTTCACCGGAGGTCATCGCGGGAGGGATCTGATGTCACACCCTACTCGGAACTCGGTTTCTTCTTTTGGATGAGTTTTTTGAGGTGTGTGAATAAATTGAATTGGCATTTCGAAACTGGCATGTTAGATTTCCTCGGGTTGTCTCTCCGTGTGATCTTAAAATTGGTTTGATGAACTGAAACCTTTGTATGTGATAAATCAGGAAGCGGGCAGATGCTATTTCACAGGACCGTAGAGCAGTGGATTGTCCGCTCGAGACTTGCAGCCAAACAAGCTAACAGGAATTCAGTTAAGTGTCAAGTAGGTCGAGGCGTCTGATTTGTTCCCCCACGCCACCTGAGGTTGCCAATCGGATCGGTCTCTCAAGCGAACCGCGGCAAAGTCTGTTTGGAATTGGACGGCGGTTTGGATTGAAACCTTGCCGGAAATGACCCGCGACCGTTTCAGTTGATAAACCTCAAGGGCCCGTACCTGAGTGCCGCTCCCGTGAATGATGTCGTCGGGGGTCTCGTAGACCTGGCTCTCCATTTGAACCGGTTGCTTTTTATCCTGGGTCACCTTGACTCGCAGGATGCGAAAATTTGATCCCCCGAGATCCAGGGCAATGAAATCCCCCTTCTCTGTCCAAAACGGCAAAACACATGAAAAGTTTCTCAACACGGAACAGGCAAACGCGCAAGTCAACGATCTGCCGTCGCGCGCGCCAATCATCTCGTCAAATCATGACCTCCCTTTGGCTGAGGCAATAATCTCTGACGGCGGTTAATGCAAGTTAGCACCGACGCAGATGGATTATTTTTGTTAACTGTCCCCAAAGCGATCTTCAAAGACTCTTGTTTATTTGCAACAAAACACGTTCACCACAGCTACTTCGTATCATTATTTTTTTTTTTAACCACCAAAATTGGTGTATTATTTCTGTTAATTAGCTCCAAATGGAGTTTGTTATTCTTGTTAATTAACTCCTAAGCTAGTTGATTATTTTTTGTTAAATTGGCAACAAAATTTGTTGATTTTGAGCAAGTACATGATTGTTTTTATCGATTTTGTGACACAAAGTTCGACGTGATCGTCAATTATGCTCTTAGGCGAACAATTAGGTTTCTCAAATGAACATCGAGGTTGGGTTCGGAAAATGTGTCTTTTTAAATATTTCGGTATTTTCTCCAGGGCCCCGAAACCGAATTGAGCTCGGGGGCCTCTCGCGGACGCTTTTTGTTTGAACACGGTGCAGGTGCAGAATCACGTTCGCGATAGCCGGCGTCCCGTCCGCTTGTGGGAATGCGCTGATAAGTGAACATCTTTTGTTCAAGTTAGCTAGCACGGCTAAACGCGGTGCTTTTGACCTGCGGTTTCGACGTCGCGTAAGCGACACTTCCGGTAAGTGTCGTTATCACAGGAGGGCGACATGTAGTAAAAACGGGGAAGACGGAGAAGCCATGCTAACGGCTACGCTATTGGAAGATGGAGTCGCAAGACACCAGAAGAGATAGTGCTTTCGGTGGTACTCACACAGATTGTCAGGCTGTTTTTGGATTATTATTTTTTTCTCCCAGCTAAGCCTAAATGAACTGACGATAAATGTTTTCATGCTACCTGAACCGTCAGGGATGGACCTGACAAAGGTGGGCAACATTTTGACTGTGGCGGTGGGATTGGTGCCGTGGCCGAGGCCATCCTCCATCTCCCGGCGGAAGCGGTTCATGATGTCCTTGAGGGTCTCGTCGGAGAGCCGCATGGAGTAGAGGTACTTGTCGATCTGGGGGCACAAAAACCAAGGTGGCAAAATGGTCACTTACCAACCATGACAACATGGGGGCAACACTGACAAAATGGAAACGGGACAGAAACCTGGGCACGGTTTTTGCAACAACACTTGGACGGAAACGCGGACGTTTGGAAATCAAGAGGCCACGTCAAATTGACTTTTTGGCAAAACTCATTCCTGAGGGTAAAATTGCCATCTTAAAAGAAGAAAGTTTTTTTTTTTTGGGGGGGGGGGGGATAGTGGCAATCTTACGAAAATAATTTTTGTCATTTTTTTTCTGGGAAATTATAATTTTCTTACAATTATTTTGAGAGGGAAAAAAAACTTCTCGTTTCCCCCAAAAATGATATGTTTGGGGGGGCCCTTGAGGACCGCAGATGCCCGGCCGGCCGTGGCCTCGAAAAACGTCCCGGCATCTATCCCCTCAAAAGTCACCTCATATCACCGTCAACGCTTTGCCACCAGAGGCGAGAACGAATGATTGGTCTGACCACCCCCAGGGAAGGCCCCCACCGGCCTCGACAATTGAATTGAAAGGCCAAATATCTTCCCACAAGAACAGATTAGTTGCCTTCATTCAACCTTTTGGGGATCTCTCGAAAAAGGGGTTGGGGGCGGGGAAGAGAATTCTAGGATTGATTTGTTTATTTTTTGGGGGGGGGGGGTATGATCTTGTATTTTCCTCCAAACAGCAGAACATCATGCGTGATGTTTCCCCCAAAGGCCTTCTTTGCATTCGTTTCCGCGCACGTGCATCTGCTGCACTGTGACGTCACAGCAGCCCCCTCCCCTCCCTCCACTTTACTTGTACAAGGCCCTCCCCCGACCCTCCATCCATGTCGCCGGTCTGTCATCTCACACACACACGCACACACACACACGCACACGCACGCGCGCACACACGCGCGCTAGCATAGCGGCTATCGGCCGGCGGCTAATTTGTGCAAGGTCACACATCTCGGGAATGTTTGAGCACGCTCGTGTGCGAGAATCCGGAAGCCTCGCCGGCTGACATCTACGCGAGCGGTCACGGAGGCGTCCGCGTCGAGGGCACGCCGCTAACCCTCCGCCGCCGCCGCCGCCGCCGCTAGCGCCGTCCATCCTCCGCCTTCTCCTCTTGCATCCTCCCACCCACCCACCCGCCAAGTAACATGGCTGCCGTACAAGACGCGAGTCGCGTTTTTGCAGCCTCGCCTGAGCCGTTTTGTACCTTTTTGAGTTGATCATCCTTCAACTCGGTGAAGTAGTAGGCCAGGAGCTGAGCTGCGATCATCTTGCCTTCCTTCCTGCGGGCGTGCGGGGGTGGGGGGTTGTCAAGAAGAAACTTGCGTGGCCGCTTGCTAGTCCGCCCTCCTGTCCTTGTGTCCCGGACGTCTTTTCCTTCCCCACTGGTGGGCGAGGCTGACAGGGAAAAGGGAAGCGTAACTGGCGGCGGTCGTGCTTGCGAGTCTGCGACGAAGGCGCACACTCAGGGAGGGAGGGGTTTGAGTGTGTGTGTCTCCCCCCCTCATCTCCACTCCACCCCCGACATGGAGCGGAATGGTTCTCGCGCCGAGCCGTGCCCTGCCCCCATTCGCCCCTCCCGATTGGCAGAGCGAGAAAGACATGCTGGCAAGCAGGAAGGGAGAAAGGGGGGGGGGGGCTGGAAAAATACAGATTTGTCTTTTTGGTCGAGAAAAAAAATGTTTTCTGGAATTTTTTTGTTGGTGTTTTTGTGTATGTCTAATTGATGGGCGTTTCATTTCGTTCTCGGGGCAAAAAAAAAAGGTGAATAAATTGTAGGAATGGATAGTTTTTGAATCATATTTTTGTATTCTAGAATATTGCGGTAATTTTCCAGAAAAGTTTTATTTTTTCAAATTTTTCAGCAGAATTTTCCTCATGATCTTTTCAAATCTATATTTGTTATGGAATTGGAGAATCATTGTTTCTTTCCCGAGATTTTTTTTTTTCAATTAACTGTTGGATAAAAATCGCCAAGATTTTTTTTTCTCTACAATTTTATGCAGATTCTGATTTTTTTTTTCTATTTTTTTTTTCAATTAACTTTTGGATAAAAATAGCCAAGATTTTTTTCTCTACAATTTTTGCAGATTATGATTTTTTTTTTTCCAGATTTTCTTTAACAGATGGATTCTTGAACAATTTTATTTTGCTGCACTTTTATTCAAGAGGAAAAGAAAAGTTTTTCCATGAATTAAAAAAAAAAATTACATCTACAAATACCTCAATTTCTAGATGTTCTTGTTTTCTGATGAGAAGTTTTGGAAAAACAATTTTAGAATAAATTTTTAAAAAAAAATCTAAATTATCTTTTTTTCATTCGAAAGCTTTATGTGTAATTGCAGTTTGGCCATGTCACAGTGGCTTCCTTCTTGGAGCATCTCGATTGGCTGAGCAGGAAAGATGGGCGGAGAATCAGGAAGGGCAGGAACCAATGAGGGTTTGAGGAGGGTTTTACGCAGGGCCCCGGCTCCCACTGAAGCAGGAAGCTGCATCTGACTGACAAACTGATATCCACCCCCCCCCGCCCCTCCCCCTCTCCTCTCCTTCGTGGTTGGCACGTCCCTCACGTTGCCACACGGCAACGTGCGGATGGGCGGGGCAGCCTCCGAGCCTTGTCATGTGATGTCATCATCACGCTTCCTGTCGCATCACCCGCAGCGTCGATGACGACAGCTTGGTGGACTGTGGAGAGCGGGAAGGTGAAAATGTGAAACAAAAGACGTACTGTATGTATGTGGTTTACACATACAGTATATATATTTTTTAGTCTGTAAAAAGTCACGTGTGTGTGTGTGTGTGTGTGTGTGTGTGTGTGTGTGTGTGTGTGGCTTTGAGTCGTGAATGGCAAACCCCCCCCCCCCCCACAACAAAAAACAAAGGTTAGATTG